CCACACACACACAGTCACACACAAACAGCCACGTCCACACCATACTCAGGTGAGGCAGCGTTGTGAAATCAGACGCTCGTCAAAATAATCAAAGTGAAGAAAATGGTATTTTACCACAGGTTTGTGATTTTTTTTTTTTCGAATTTTCGTTTTTTGGTTTATCATCTTTCATGCCCATTACAAAACACATTTCTTAAAGACGATACCAATAACTCCATATGCCCAAAAATTGACGAGCGCATGATACCACTGCGTCGTGACACTAAAAGACAAACACACTCACACACGCCCCCCCCTACACACACACACACACACACACACACACACACACACACACACACACACACAAACAAACACATATATACCTGCAAGGCACACCATAAACATGGGCAAGCACGCATAAATTTACACCAATCTCATAAAACAAGAGACGCAGACAGCAGGGAAGCATAGATACGCAGGTGGTACAGACACGATTACTGAGATCGTAATAAATAAAAAATAATTTTCGTTGTGGCAAAAAGCACATGCTTTTCGAGCTTGTAGCATAAGTATTTTAGCGGGATATGTTCAACACCTGACAATACACGATGTTAAAACAGATTGCACAGCTTGGACCCTCTCTTTGTAATCTCTGCAATCTACTTTTCCCCGTCGTGCGTCATCAATCTTAAATAAACACCATTGTCACTGGACAAAGAACGTGAACCAAAGCATCGTAAATGCTATACCCGTAGCAATAGAACCAATACAACACACACACACACGCACGTGCACATAATATTCTGTAGCAATGAACCAATACGAGACACACACACACACACATGTACACACAAACATACACACACACATACACACACATACACACACACACATACACACACACACACATACACACACACACACACACACACACGCACATTACGTGTAGCTTATAATATTATAGGCCTATTCTTTAGCAATGAAACGATGATATGGCAGACACTATAATATCATTATTCTGTACCGGTGGAATTGTGACAGTGTCAAAATCTGCTTTTGACGTAGCATTTAAGTGTGTTTGTAACTATGCACGTTCGTAGCATGTATTTTGTCTTAAGAGAATAGTCGTGGGTTTGAATCCCGTCAGGGGCCAGACGTTGTATCTTTGGGTAAGGCAAATTTTCCTCACCCCCTACCAAGGTGGGAATGGGTACCCAGCTATGAACAGTGAAAGAACTTGTCAGTTAGGTAGTGTCTGAGCGCCAAATCGACTGCTTGCGCTGTCTCTATGTTGCCTGGGAAGCTGAGAATGTTTCTGAGTGTTCTATGGTGTGATGGGGTACAAATGTTATTTATTATTTGTAACATTACAAAGCATTTAGAACTCTATTGTACAGGGGATTATGGTGGGGGGGGGGTTATAAAAATCATTATTATTATTTTTAGTAGAAGTAGTAGTAGTAGTAGTAGTAGTAGTAGTAGTAGTAGTAGTAGTAGTAGTAG